AAAAAAAAAAAAAAAAAAAAAAACAATAGGGAACAATAGAGAAAAAACAATAAAGGGAATAATGGAAATATCCCAAATCGATTTCGAAAAATTCCATAATACATGCCATGTTCAAGTTTACAAGATTTTTGGTTAACCCACAAACTTCTATATATAAACTAGACTGCTAATACCCGTATTTAGCGAGTGGTCGGAAAAATATCGGGCGGCCATCTTTGAAAGGACCGAGTTGAAACCGAGTTGAAATGACATGCACTATAGCATATTGCTTCCTTCCACTCACACATTGCCATTCAAGTCACGTATGTAAGATCCTTTCAAAGATGGCGGACAGTATTTTTCCGATCAAACTCTTAACTAAACTATATCTAATTAGCGGTCTAGATATTATATAGAAGTCTGTGGGTTAACCAAATAAGATTTCTAGTTAACCAGAACTTGCAACAGTTTAAGTTGAGCAGTTATCAGTTCTGATTATTCAGAAATCTTGTTAACTTGAATAGAATTCTGGTAATTTCAAAGCCGAAATTTTGGTTCGTTTATATTTTATCAGATATTTGATTAATCTAATCAAATTTCCTTTTCCGTGTATGATATTCTATAGTGTGGATGTTTTCGAAGAGAGACTGAGTATCGGAGATACTCATGACGTGCATGATTTTCAAGTTTATTTGCTCGCTCTCGAAACGCTATTAATCTCGCGAGATGAGTCTTGGAGTTGACTTACTAGTTGCTCGAAGACCATTGGACTTCTCGACGAGATGAAGCTTCTGATTCTGTATATGAGCGGAGATATTATAGCCGGGAAAACCATGCCCAGTGTGTGTGTGAGAGCGTACGTGTATGTTCGCGGGATATTTAGTAGACTGGATATATTAGGGTGCCGTGTGCGTGCTACGTGCATCGGAATGATGATGGTGCCTTCTGACTATTGCAGAATCCTTGGCATGCGTAGAACGGAGGGCGAGTCGTGCGTACGGCTCGTTCCGAGGCTAGCGAAGGGATCAAAGGAGGAGGGTCGTCTGACCGCTCTTGAGCGGTTCGAGGGCCGGTGAGCAGCGCGACAAGGCGAGTATATCCCTTGCCTCCTCGGCCGACGACTAGCAACCCTCCCGTCCGTCACCGTCGACGAACAACAGAACAGGTACGTGCACATTCCGTGTAATCGATACTATCTGTTGTCGGTCGCGTCACCTCGATGCAACTTCGATAAGCCGAGTGAACTAGACGAGCGAAGATTGGTATCTACAGTCACTAATCCAAAAAATACCTTCTCTCTGCATAATTAAAGGCGTGATTTTGCGAAGGCGGGTCGCATTTATGTCCGTGAGAATAAGTTTATTTTGATTTCATCGAGAACCACCTTTGAAATTCGTATGTTTCTTTTTTAGATACGTAGGATAGCATAATTAATTATAGTATAGGGACGTATACTGATTGTCATGATAAACAGAAAAATGCATGCTGCATTCAAGTAAATATTATTTGCTTTAAATATTTTATAAGTTCGTTGGTAGAAATTTCACGCAGTTTCTGATACAATTACTGAACAGTATATTAACTTCTGTCTAGTAACTGACAAATAAAACTGTTGAGATCCTGATTAAGATGTAACACTTTTTCTGTAGTTACTGTGTTCAAAAGATGCGCAAAATCTGAATTTACAGTAAGTAACTGAGTAAATGTTGGCAGTTTTTCAGTAAATCATTATTTATTGCTGCAAATAATGTGTAATACAAAAAATAATTTCGTATACGTATATTAATTATTTCCAACTCATGTAAGATATTTTTACGGACTTGAAAGAGCTTTTTGTTTAAATGTAATGACGAAAAATAATTGACTTATTTTGCACCGACTTCCAAGAGAGATGTTTACATCGAGTGTCCTGGTATCGTATTTACAACACGCAATTTTGTATGTTTAAAATGTGTTATTATATGTTTCAGTACTCAGTTTCTCACAGTCAGTTGATGAAAAGACACACAAATAAAATAAGAATAATTATGAAACCAATTTCTTCAAATTGTTTAAAACAAATTACTTTTCTCTTGAATGATGGTTTGTCAATGCGTCAAGTTGCTGAAAAGTATAGTGTCAGCCAGTCGACAGTCCAAAGAATAAGGAAAAAATATCGTAAAAATATTTGCTAATAGTAGGGTTTAGGGGACCCATCTCCAATGATCTTGATCTTTACATATATTATAGAGGTCATCTTCCTGAGTAACCTTCTGAAGATTTTAGCTGTCGGTAGTTGTTCGTTAAAAAGTTATAAAAGAAGTTGCATAAAATGAATGTAATTTTTGGACATCGTATATATTAAAACATCGAATTTGTAGCTAGGAAGATGCCTGCTACACACACACACACACACACACGCGCGGTCGCTTGCCCGCCCGGGCGGGCTTGCGGTGGGTGCGTATGCCTATTATATATATATATATATATATATATATATATATATATATAT